TATATATATATATATATATATATATATATATATATATATATATATATATATATATATATATATATAAATATCTTCTATATTGTTCTTTAAGTTTTAGGTTCATTTTTCTTATTCAGAACAGATGTTTGTCCTTACAATTGTCAGTATTCTTTATTTTAGCTCAGAAATAATTATAGAAGGTTTTTAATGCTGGCTTAAGCCATCTGCCACTTTCCCCTTACAGTGCTCGAGGTCTTTAATCCACTTCATTCTCATTTATCCAGACTATGGGAGTGAAAATGCACAGAATAAAATTTACTTCAGAGACAGCTCGCGCTTACTTTCTGTTTTACTCAGACTCATCACTTCTTCTTCTGCATTTTGTTTAGTGCTTCACTTTTTCAAGGTTTTTTTTTAGATGTATGGTCTTTATAAGTAAAATCTGAATGTTAAACTTATATTTCTGTTTTATTTTCATGGTTCCTATCTGACTGGGCTCTATAACTCAGCTTCCATCCCGTCATTTTTTACTTCCTGTTTAAAAGTTGCCCTACGTGTTTAAAGATTAATGAATGAAACATACATCGGCCAACTTTAATTTCCCTCTTACTTTATCTGCCTTTTTCTGCTGCTGTTTCTTCCTAACATTTGGATTGAAGCAACACTTTTCATCTGATCTGCAACACTAGATGAACACGGGGGGAGGGGCGTAGTTGGATGGTGGATGGGGCGTGAATGAAGAGACGGGGCTGCTGCCTGTGGATGATATGTTTACATGATGAAGGAGGAACTCATTTATTGTAAATATCCTGCTAAACATTCACTTGCATTTAGCTGATGTTAACCATCTAAGCAAAGGGCTATGCTGTTTTCCTGTTGTCTGGTCTAGTTTGTAATGGTAAATTTTGAGCTCTGTGAGCTTAGTTTAAATAGCATAGTTTTTTGGCCATTGTGTAATTTAAAGACACACAATAGGCTCATTAAATGCTTGGTTAATCCTGGTTTAATTCTTCTTTAAAAATAAGAATTTAACCAAACAAAATAATATTAAAACATTCTCCAGAATCATTTATATATGATTCCCCTCCAACCTTGAGAAGGATTAACTAAGTAGTTGCAGCCAGCAGATAGCCAGCTTATTTTACTCAACAGGTTAATAAAATATCGTTAACTTTAACTGTTCAGGTAACAAACCTTTTCTTGAAAAAGTGGGTCACGGTATTTGAGACTTTTCTTTCTAACTCCTCTTTTTCCTTTCTTTCTTTACCTTTTTGAAAACCGGCCTTTTGGGCGCTGCTTTTTTCAGCCATGGAAGTTTTTTTCTATACTGCTGCTTATTTATACATTTTCTTGCCCCTATTCAATATTCCTGCTTGGACAGAGTGTTATCTGGACCACAATCATCCTCCAAAGGGTCTTTTTCTGTCTTAATGACCTGCAAAGACTCATCTTTTTTTTTCCACCTTTACCTCCAGTTGACCCTTCACACCTTGTTCAATAGGCCAGTGGTCTTTCAGACCAGCATACCCATAGTCAATACGCATGCACAAGACATCAGATTTGCATTTACCCCTTTAGTTTTGTACGAAAAATGTGCAAAAAGACTTTAAACTACCTCAACGGGGTGTGTATTGTGTATCCTGTGTTGTCATGTACAAAAAAAACTAATTAAAGTGAGATTATCATACACTTCAAAAAACACCAAAAAGTAAATAATTAAATAGTTTTTTTGTACATAGCTAAAGGGATGCACGCCCGTTGAGGTAGTTTCAAGTTTATTTTTTGTACTAAACTAGATAAACTAAACAGATAAACTAAAGAGATGAACAGGTATTGACTATAGGTATGCTGGTCTGACAGGGTATGCTCATCTGACAGAACACCGGACTTCTGGGTTGCCCAAAAGAACTAACAAGACGGGACAGTTCTACTAAAAAAGTTGCACATTTTTGATGCATTTTTTAAAAAGTAAGCTTTCGTGATTTTGATTGATATTACTCTCATTCTATCTCAGAAATAAAATGGTAAAGAGTAGACATCTCCTTTACGCTCCAAATCTGTGAAAAACTACTTAAAAATCTGCTTTAAAATGTTGTAATGTAGAACCAAAGGTCTTATTCCAGCTGTCTCCAATTAAGCCTTCATAAACAGTCCTATCCAGGTATAGGACGGATTGGTATTTCATAAGATTTTTTTTCTTTCTGTGAGACACAGACAGAGACACATTTTGCTCTGAGAATACCCTGAAAGATTTCCTTCAGAAAGAAATAGTCAGGCCTTCTGAAAAAAACAAAAAAAACAACAACAGAGAATTGCAGATAACACATCTCAGAAGCTTTTACTTACCGGTATATACAAACTTTTACTTGTTGAGGGTTTTTTGCCTCTAAAGAATCTTAGATTAGCTTACTCCACTATAAGTGGCTTCCTATGACCTGCCTTCAGAAAGCTCCATAACTGTAGCCTGTGAGGAGGCTGAATTCTGGTCGACTTTGAGTTTTCCCACATCTTTTCCCAGCCTTTGAGCACACATTCAGCAGAGTTATTGCCAGACTGTTAAGAGGCCTTGACCTTGCTCACTTAAACCATTATTAGAGGTCACTTCACTGGAGCGACTCTAACTGGATTCTTATGAGGTGCAGGTGGTTTGTTCATCATCTTATCTCTGAGATGCCCCTTTTTGTTCACTCTGTATTGACTTGTTTTCCTGGTTCTTGGACATTTTCTTTCTTATAAAGGTTTTGACTGAATTGTTTTGGGTATTTTTTAACTTCAGGTGAAATTGAAAGTTGTTAGAGTTTCAGTCATATTTCATTTTTTGGTGATAAAAATCTGTTAAAAGGATTTTTCTTTGATTAACAGACATCTGAACAAAAACTAAATATGCCTTCTGTTATACATTGGAATTTTCTCTTCATTTGCTTTAAACAATGAAAGAAAGCTTGGACAGAAGTGTCGCCAAAAACCACAGTTCCCTTCTTGGCCTTTAGTAAACCCTGTGTCCCCTGCTGGGAGCAGCAGATAAAACCAGAGCAAAAAACATTTGCAAAGAACAGATGGAAGTTCGGCATCTGTTCTGCATTTAATTTGCAAAAAAAAAAAAAAAAATCTTTTTGTATGAAGGCTTTATTTTTACATTTCTAATATACTTCTTTTATTTTACAGCAAAAAACAGTGCGTCTACTGCAATAATTTATTTGCATTAGAGGCAGTGTCTAGCTCTAGGTAAATATGACTTGTAGTATTTACAGTAGATGTTTAACATTTTTAACATTTTCTAATTGTTATCCATTCAGTAAATTTATTTTTTCTGTGGTCTTCATCATAATCTATCGTCATACAAAATTACACATTAAATTAGTCCTGAAGAGTGTTTTCTTTTGTACTTGGAAGTTAGAGGCTCATTAGTTGCTGTATTGCGTTTTCCAATCCATGCTGTTTTTGCAGCATGGATTGGAAAAGTATGCAGATCAGTCCATCAATCTAAAATATTTTGTTTTACCAACCTAATCTATCTGGGTTACATATGATGCTCTTGATGACTCCTAAAGTAACTTGTTTGTGGTTATAGGTATAATAAGGTCTCATTTGTCCTCTGACTGGTGATAGAGGTATGTCCCCTCAGCCCTGTCTTCATCGTATCCAGGATAGTGTCCTGTTTCGCTGCCTCCTCTTCCAACATTCTCTGGGCACTGGATCCCCACACTCATCTGTAGGTTTGCCTCCTGCATTCTTAGTTCCATAGAATCCACTAGATCATAAATGTTGTCCAGGGACCATATAGGTGATGGGAACCATGCCTTGACATCACCATCCTTCCCCACGACCAGCATACTAAAGTAGTCCTTATTGACTTTCAGCTGTTCTCTCAAGTTGTTGACCACAAGATGAGATAATGGTTCCACCTCGCTTTGACTGCGACCTGGAGGGAAAATTAAGCAGTGAGCGCATTCAACAGAGAAAATTATGGTAAAATAACCAATTTTTTTATTTTCTTAATACAATGAAATTAATGGTTTTAATATTTTATATTATTTACAATCTCGCAAAACTAGAAAGTATTACCATTTATGGGAAATAGCTCAACAGTTCCTGAAGCTTTTGGTCCATTTCCAGTCAACTTTAACAGTGCAAAGTGACGGATACCTGTCAAAACACCAAAGACCTGAACTTGATGACTGAAAAGATCAGAATATGCAGTGACAATACATAGATGAGTTCATCCATCCATCCATCCATCCATCCATCCATCCATCCATCCATCCATCCATCCATCCA